GCTACAGGCAACACCCGGCTGATACATTAGGTGCTCACCCGTTGAACGGGTGCAGCAGTTTTCTTTCTTTGAATCGAACAGGCTTTGCCAACGGTTTATCTTCCCGTCTCTCGCCAATACTAGAACGCAATAGGGCAAACGGCAGCGGGTGGCCGCTGTCGATAGAGTGAAAAAAAGGCGTCACCTGTGCTTCATTTTTCCCCAAAGTATTACACAGAACGTTGTACGCGTTCCTCCAATAGCAGCAGTATCGCTCCCGTTGCATCTCCTCCTTTGGCGTGTCGCAGCGAGGAGAAAGACACAACTAGCGGTGGACCGCCTGCGAAGATTTCCGGGTCAAAAATCGTGGCAAGCTCGGGGCTGGCTGATCATGATGCGGGGGCGTCACCGGAGGTCCTTGGCAAGGTCCAAGGGCTGGCGGGCCAGGTTGCGGAAGCTCGAACGTTATGACGAGGCCAACATCATCAAGTATGCTATGAGGGATTTCATGGGCGGCCAGACCCCTCCCGAGATAGAGCTACTCGAGGCGGGAAGGCTCAAGATGAATTTTGTGCGGGCGGTGATAGCGGTGACTGAGATTGAGGAGGAAGGGTTGTTCCGCCACATCATTTCGTACCTCTAAATTGGGGGCGGCATCATGTACTTCTGTAGGTATCGTGAATATATTATCGCCTAGGAGCACCGAGGAGAGTACCATGAAAATCTGGGAGGCTAGCGGCTAGATATCATGGAGCGAGCATAGCCACAGGCATATCCTTCCAAGATGCGAGCCGAGCTAATTCAGCGTGGTTATGATTGTAATGGCAACTCGACGAGTATCGTCCGGGTTACCTTCCTCAAACTTTCCAGTGTTTCAGCGGGCAGCGTTAACAACTCGAGAGCGCCGACAGCGACACGCCCAACCAACAGAGAAGCAAGGTGTTGAAGAAGACGGAGCACCCTCCAGATTTCAGTTGAACCAGCAACAGCGCGAGACTGAACGCGGCACACCCGCAACACCGTCGAAAAGCAGCGGCCGTCACCTGGTTAGGTATCGGCACGGCATCTCGGTCATGACACTGCAACATATAACCACTGAACCACCGCCGCCCAACCGCTGAGACACATGATGTACACCGCAACAAGTTCCAAAAAGGTAACCTGGCAGAATCCCTTCTTGTATTGTACGCCCCCGCTCGTAAGATGCCCATATTTACGCGAGGCGAGCGCCATTTTTTCTGCGCCGAAACCGAGCCGCGGCTCTTACGTTGGAAATGTCGACCGGTTTTGTTTTGTCATCCATGGATGAGGCGAAGGAAATACAGCCATCCTGCAAATATCCGTCTGATGTATATACTCCTCTCAATATAGTAGGTGCGTATGTATCCGACCACTGAATCAATATAATGCAGACTCTCCCGGTAATACTCCTTAGGTGAATACCTTGGTAATGTTTTTTCAGCAGACAAGTACTAACGACCGACATTCCAACAGCTTATTCCGTACCATCACTGAATTCGCGGTGCGAAGCGACAAGGTGTTGCTTCCGTTTCCATCCTCCGGTCGCCCTTGCACGGCTGCTTCTCGTCCACCACAAAATATCCAATGATTCACTGGAATTCATTCATACTGTGCGCACAATATCGAAGTATATTTCGGATTCTTTAATGCGCCGAGGAGGGGTAGCTGTCCCGTCTTCGTCTCCACCACCCTCGGCGGCTCCTTCCGCGCAAAGGAGTCAGACCGGGCGAACCTGCGGGAGATCTGCTCGTGCGCGGGGTCCCCATCCCATCTCCGCCGACGTCACGACCGGTGCCTGCGCACCGGCTTGTATCATCGTTGTCGCCGTCGCCGTCGTCGTGGTCATAAAGCCCATCACCGGTGGGGCTCCCAAACACTTCGCAGTGCTCGCGATCGTTACGGTTTCTTCTACCGACACCGCAGGAGCTCCGATATGAAAGAGTCACACCATTGCCGGCAGCGACAGCATCGTTTGCAAGAAAAGTGGCAGAGAGTTGGTCGTTGTTGTTGCTGGCGTTGTAGACTCTATCGCCAATTCCGCTAATACCCACCATCATACTGTTGTTGTCGCTTTTCTTGGCCGTTCCGATGTTGTTCCGACCGGCGGTTACTCTTGACTCTTCCCCATAGTCCTTGAAGTCGCTCCACACCGCACTGGAACCTCCCGCCCCCCCTCGTCCTCCGCCCCAGCTCCCGCATCTGCGTGTGGATAGTACCGCCAAATCCGCCGCCCTTCCGTCACCGGCTTCGCTGTCTTCGATCCTTCTCCCACCGTCTGCCGCCCTGTTGCTATCGTTGTCATTTCGGTTGTTGTGTCCTTCGAAGCCTTTTTTCGGGAAAGGACGAATAGATTTCAACGGTACCGGCGCGGCGTACGATTTCAATAGTACACTAAATGGGAAAAGGAAATTGCGTGCATATGCCGGCGTACATCTTGTCGCCCCGAATCTGTCATGCTCATTTCAAACCTACTGTGGGCAATGTTCTTCTTCAGACTGCTGCTAAGGAAATCCTTCACAGGTGAATGTAGGGAGTGAGCTTCGAGCACGCTCCATTCTTTCAATTGTCGTCATGCAGTGCTGGGGCGCAAGTTTAGCCAAAATGTTGCATCGTGGGGACCGGCACGATCAACTAGGTAGCCGATATGTATGAAAACAACAAATCTCCGCCTATCGAAACGTACGGAGTCTTGCCATGAACAAACTCACTTGCCACCCTCGACACCCTAATATGCGCTTGTTTTTTCCTCAGCCGCAAATCGAGATTCTTCACTGCCTGCGGATATGGAATTTCGCACACCGTTACTTTTGTTTCCACCTTCTTCAACATCGTCGTCTTCATCATCATCGGGGAAGCACCACCCCGACGGCAACAGACCGAAGTCTGATCCGGACGCGCCCATCCAGGCAGACGGCGGTAGTTGCAGCTGCGCCGTAAGGGATACGATGTTGCTGTCGCTTTCCGAAGGCTGTTGGAGAAATGAGGCGACGGTTCCACTGGCGCATCCAGTGGAAAGTACCAGTTCTGGCGTGGGTGGTTGCCTCGTTGCTGATATTGTTCCTCTGACGGAGGTAGCGTGGGGAGCGCTGCTGCCCTTCGTTGTCTTACCCTCGTTTAGTGGTGCCTTCTTGCCCAATAACCTTCTGGAGGAAAATGTTTTGATATTCGTTGACGCAATTCGTGGTCGCCCTCGTCCGCCTACTTGCGTCCGTGCAGCTGAAGCTGGTGAGTTTTCGTATACTGCTTGGTGTGGCCCCAGTCGCTGGCGTGCGAAATTCGTCTGGTGGAATTAGGAGAAGGAGCTATCTAGCTGTAGAGAATAGACAGGCGTCACTTGTTCACGAAACTCCGTACGATGAAATGATTCCATATATGGAGGGCCATCCGTGCTCCACAGTTCATCTTATGTTACTTCATAAGAATCTACTTTGCTGCTGTACCACACCCATCGACAAAATCCCTGGTTTTCCTCCTTCCACCCCGATTCACTTCATTTTGCTTCATATCGCATACGGCCTCTGTGAACGATGTATGGATATAAATAGATTATCAAATGCAGATACGGCCGTACAGTCGAATCTACGGCTATGCGGTCGAAAGGTTGCTCATCGCGCGGCCCAAACTCGATACGAATACCTATCGGGGTACCGATTTTCATTCATTCGCCACGTTGCAACAAGAGAAACGTTCCTACGAACAACACATTCAGAAAATCTCACATATTTTCAATCCGTCGGTTGACGCTGGACACACAAGTTGCCGGAGAACCATGAATTTACATGAATTTATTACGGTGTGAATCACAGAAATGCTCACCTGCTCAGCGGAGATGGTCACGGGTTCGGGTATAAGTTTCATTCGGAGTTTGCGGGAGCTCCGGTTGATGAAGGACGATTTTTTCCCGGGTGATTTCGTACACATGGCTTTGGAGGAGCTATCTTTTGTCGACCCCAGGAGGTGCTGGCGCTGCCCTTGGCCGCTTTCGCGGTCTCGGATTGGGTTCAGTGGCGACACCGTTGGGCGCGCAGGTAGTGATCCCCAGCGGGGCGTAGAAACCCGCACGTTGTCGGAGGGCGGGGATATCCTAGCCTAGATTTTCGGATATTTGTTGTTGACAACAGGATCGTAGTGTGCATGGCAAATGGGAGTAGTGTAGCTTAGAATCACGCGCACGTTGATAGTGTACTGTATGCTGAACAACTTCGACCAATTGCACACTCACCGAGCACTTCGGAATCTCAGCAACAACGGGCAACAAGCAATGCTGAAGGGTTCTACTAAGCAAAGGTGATCGGCGAAGGGTTCATGATCAACGCAAGCACTCGGCATGGGTGGTTAGAGAACCAGTGTTGATTTGTCTCGAAAGGAAATACATAAGGTCAAGAGCTGAACAAGGTTGAGGAGGGATGCCACCTTGGTCTTCAGAGCTCAACACCCCCACCTTGACTCGCTCCCCCAACATTAGGGGATCGCATGCACATATGGCGCGTGCAACGACATCAATATCACATGTCACATTGATATACAAGCACATACATACCGGCAAGGTGGATCTACGAGTGAAAGGCCGCCATCTTGGTTCGCTTGCCATCCCGTTGAGACGACAGGCTTGCGGTTGGGCATCGCAAGCATCCATGACGAGGCTGCTGCATGACATCTTCGTCCAAGTATCGGGGATCAAACATATGAAGCGCTCTGTGTTCGATGCGGGCAGGCGTAGACTACATGTCATCGAGATCAAGAGGTTGCGGTATGTGTGGAATTGAAATTCTGGCTGAAAGTGTGGAATTCAAAGTGTAGTCTAACTCACACGAAAGTTTAGCTCTGGAAGTATCGCATACAGAAGAAGGGTAGGTCACTTGCGGTGGCTGAGGTAACGTCAAAGGCGTTCCAATGACTACATACACCGAGGAGGGGTCAGCTTCCCTCTTGCCCGAAAGTACGTTCGCTCCGTGTCGGAGGGTAGCCAATGCAGAGCTGATGGTCGAAACCCCATACTACTACTGTAACACCGCAAAATCTTTACATCGAAACATCGTTAGTACGGGACGTCTAGTGTTAGGCTCTCGCGATTGTAGAGAAGTCCCGACGGAGAAAAACGATCACCTACTGTAAAATTTCATAGTTGCGCAGTAATGTGCGGCCGTCAATGTCAATGAGTGCATTGGATCCCCAGATCAAATGAAGTTGCAAATTGACACGAAACAGGTCGTACCAGGAACTGGCTTGCCAGTGGAAAAGGGATAATCAAAAGCATACCGACGTCGATTCGGCCGACGCTCTCCCCATCAATCGTACATACGTGTGATACATGTCGCAAGGCAAATGGCCACCCCATGATGAGAGAATAGGCACCGAGACGATGCATACCTTGTTTCACCTCTTCCTGAAGTGAACAGCGCGAGGATGTCGTGTTGATAACATCGCCCGCTCTCTACCCTCTCTCTACCTTCTCTCTCCGCACTGACGATGGTACTATTGTATGTAGTGGGGCAGAGAGAGTTGTCCCTTGAAAATATAAACTCAACTAATTGAATGCCGCGAACCTTGGAGGGTGCCCCGTCTCAGGACGACTTCACGCTAGATGTGCTGGCGCCTTAGTGGGTTTGACGCAGAAGGACTATTAGGGTAAAAAGGCCCACAGTGGACGGTGAACAATAGGCAGCCCTGCTCAGCCCGCAGGAACCGAGTGGTGGGTGAAAGAGGAGCAAGTCCGACCTGAGCTTGAGTGGCACGCTATCTACGAACCGTGACAATACCAAGCAAAAAGATGGCAGTTTCAGATGAACAGTTCTTGAATGTATCTGTGGAGATCGTTTCCTTCGATGCGCGAGACCGCCCGCTATAGTGTGTGAAGTGGCTGCAAGCGGTGCGAAACGTTTTCCTCCATCAACAACGACCTCGATAATAGATAGACCCTCCGTTGCAGGGTATATCTGGTGGTTAACTGTGGTTCGTGGTCACGTTTCTGTTGCGATCCGTCTACCTACATCGTTAGAGGGCGTAAACATCAAGCCACCAGATCTATCGTCACAACCTCATGAACAAGGGTACATTTCCCCAACCAACACCCTGTCCTAGTCGACAATTTATTTGTCCATACGTCGCTCCATCTCGTAGAGCGTACTTGTTCGAGGAGTTTCTGAGGGACAGCACCCATGCCTCATTGGGTTTGAATATGGTCAGCGGCAAACGCCTTATCTGTATAAGTTACGACATAATAGAGGTGTTCCATTCCTTGCCGCGCCCCGATCTCGTTCTTTCGTGTCTCGAGTCAGCGTGTGCCTACACAGTAATATGTGGGTGTTGCCTGATGCCATTCTTGGCATGCCAATTTAGTAGGTCTGTCATCTTTGGACGGGTCCAGCTCCTTCGTGAGTGTTTTATTTTTTTTTCAGTACATGTCCTATCAAAAGTTGCGTTGGTGATACTTATGCAAGATGGAGCTTGCTTGTCTTACGTATGATGTTTTTTCCCCCCCACAATGATACAACGATAGTGTTAAAGTCGCTTCTGCCGTCTGTACTCTATGCTGCTAATGCTGGTTCTGCTTCTTCTTTTAAGACACGTCGTGTCTCATCTTGTCTCCTGTGCACACCGCCACTGAAAGTGAAACTCTCTGTCAACCTCCTCCTGCCAATACCCAACGAAATTCTACCCATACAGCCCAGTTCGTTCCAGGAACGACAGCACCCAGCCACCTGCCACCATCGTCCAACCCAAATACATATACACGATGCTTCGTTTCGCTGCCCTACTCAACGCATCTATCTGCCGGATCAAAACTGGTTGGTTTTGGCAAAGCAAACAAACCTCCCATGCACTCCACACGTTGCAAGAATGGGGGTCTGTGGGTATCATCGTGCCGTGCTCCTGACCGTGTACTATTTCGTACGTATTTTTTTTCTTTTGTTTTTGCTGTTGTTAGCAAGGAGGAGACCCCTGTCCACACTTATACGGAATTGCTCCCGCTTTCGTGTACCGGTTCCATGCCGGTTAGCGTCGTCGCCAGGAGTAGGCACTAGGAATCGATCGATCCTCCATCGATCCGACCCAGGTAGTGTGGGAATTTAACCCACCAAAACCCCCTAAAATAAACAAGCTACGAAGTAGCTCCCAGTCTGGTCTATCAGGGGAGCTACCTCCCGCGTTCCCCTCCGCCACCCCAACCGGCCGACGCCGTCTTCCCCGACTTCTCGCCCCCGCCTCCGAGCACCGCCACTATACCCCGGGCACCACGGGATGGATCGTGTTTCAGACCAGTACCCTGCCGGTAGGGCGCGCGCCCGCGCTATCCTAGCACTAGTGGCGTCTCTGACGTAGCCGGCCCATCGAGAGTGATCTGCCCGCCGCCATAGGATTCTCTCACGTTGTCCGCAAACCTCGTGTCTCCGAAAGACCCCGCTCCGCTTGACGGCCATGACAGGGTCTCGCTTGGCGTCGAAGCCCCCCGGTCGAAGCTCATCGTAACGCCGGGAGGCAGCACCAGCGCCTGTTCGAGCGTGACGCCCGTCGTTTGAGGAGATCCCGTCGATTCTCCTCCCTCCGCGGTCATCCAGGTGAGTCCCGACGTCTTGGACACCTCTGCGGTCACCCAGGTGAACTCCGACGTGTTTGACACCTCGTCGTCGAGGATAAGGCTGCCCTGCCTAGCCGCTGGCTGTCCTGCCGAAGAGTCGTCCACGACGTCGGCGGCGCATGCCGACGGGGTTGGGGTAGGGGCACCGTTCTCGCCGTCTCCGCCGCCTCGTTCCGCACGGGAGGTCGACCTGTCACGAGGCGGCCGCCACCAAGGAGACGCCAGAGACGCCGGTAGAGGAACGGACGGAGAGGGGTGGGAATCGTTGTGGCTGTTTGTTGAGCGTGCAGTAATCCAGTGATTACTGACGCGATCATGCCGGTGCGATGGCAAGGATAGAAGGGTAGAGGGCAGTAGATAAACTGCAACGACAAGCAAACTCGGAGGGAATAACGAAGGGTCGTGTCACGAAATGGACACGATAGGCGTAACCCTACTCACCGCTTCCCAGCCAGGTCGTCGTCGCCATCGTCGTCGTCGTTATTGCCCGAGCTAGGCCGCCTCTCGACCGCATCCTCTACGCCATCGGGCATCCCCTTCGACGATGAAGCTTGCGCCTCCTTCAACAGCGCTGCCTTGATCACGATCGCCGCCGCCGTCGCGTTACCCCGGACAGACTCCTCAGAGGATGATGACCAAAGCGGTGATGGCCATGGCCTTGCGACAAGGACTTGCGCGTCCTTCGACAGCGCTTCCTCGATCACCGTCGCGGCCCCCGTTGCGTTACCCCGGACGGAGTCCTCGGAGCATGCCGACCAAAGCGGTGATAGAGATGCCTCGATGAGCTTGGATGCGTTTTCTGACGAGAATTCCGGGGTGTAGTTGACGTGTCCGACACCAACGTAGGCGATATCACTCGGTTCGTTGTTTTTCGATGAACCCAGCGGTCCCACTGTCGCGGTAAGTGGCGGCGCCGTCCCGACCGCGGTAGCCTTATCCGTGGTTGTTTCTGTACCGCATGGCGATAGAGATCCCGATGCTACGACGCAGTTCTCAGGAAACGATGCGGGCATGGGGTAGAGTGGCTCACGCGGTAGCTGTTTGAGGAGCTGCTGTGGGCGTGTGGACGTTTCGCCGATGGTAGACGTCGGTCTCTCGTTCACTTCTTCCCCTCCAACGGCGCTGTTAGGTTCGGGAGAGGACGGCGTCGGGAGCGCTGGCGTACTCCTACTTGAGTCGTCGCTTAGGACGCCGTCGATGATAGTGATCATCATGTCGAAGGCGGCCGCCGCGGCGGAAGATCCCTGCCGTCGCATGGGATCGTGGATATCGTCGGGGGGGGGGGGGGATTGCGCGGGCAACGTTCGTTTAGTTTCAATGTCAAACCACGGAGGTGGAAGAAAAAACAACGGCAAATCACGAGGCATCCGAAAGGAGAGGGAACACAAGCATTCATGACGAGAGGTAGCCTCATTTCACGACGCTAACGAGGGAGACGGGGTCACAACGTATTTGACGCGTGGAACCAAATGCACCCATCGTTGTTCTCGCGCTATTCAACGATATCTCCCGTACATTTCTGGCCTCCTCGCTGATGATATCCTGAGCGTGGAGTTTAAGCAGGCGGGCGAGCCCCGGTCGAGCTTCCAAAGCCGCACGAGACCCTAGAAGAAGCTGCAGGAGCTGCCTCGCGTTCGTCTTGCTTTTGGCCGCCCAACGCTGGAGTCGTTTAGCTTTTTCTGCACCATTGGTACCGCCGCGGAGGCTCGTCACGCGTCTCCCGGCCTTGCCGGCCTTCGCCGCACCCGTAGCCTTCTTCTTCTTGTGGATCTCCTTTTTCGCGTGCTGGAGGAGATCGATCGCTTGTTTCTTTTCGTCGGGCGCCGTCGTCGTGCCGCAAAGCCGGCCAGCGGCACGGTGAGCTACGTGGCTTGGACGCCTGGAGTTGGTGGCGAAGCGGCCGCAGTTGCCACCACTGCTTCCGCCACCAACTCCGTCGGAGTCCGTGGCGGGCGTACTGACCTTGACGACCGCGACGAACAGCATCATCAAGTGCCCCACCTGCTGCACGGCCCCGGCCGGTGTGCCTTTCAGGACGTGCAGCAGTTCGCGGAGCTGCTTCGAGGATGGCCCTTGGGCGGTCTGGCCGGGGACACCAACCCTGCCGCCGACGTCGCCCTTCTTCGCTGTTTTGGTGCCATGAGCCATGTGTGACATATTTCCTATGCTTTTTATTTTCGGTTGGACAGCAAAAGGACGCAAAGGGTTTGGGATCACGCGGAAGAATACAAGTTGAGCTCTAACCCAACGGTCGCCAAGAAATCAGACGTGTCAGGAGAATGGTGAAGAAACTCTCGGTGAGCCAAGTAGCCTACGGAACGTTCGAATTTGAACGCAACGAATGCCAACAAGTGATGCGAGTGCCTAAGGGTAAGTTCAAAGACTCGTTTGTCTAGGAGTGAGTATTGTACTAATTGTCGGAGGCAATCTCCGTAAAGCGCCAAAGCCTCACCTCTCTTCTCAAAGTAGCGATTCGCTCGTAGTCGATTCGCTCGTAGTCGATTCGCTCGTAATCGATTCACTCGTAATCGGTTCCGGTGTGGAGTCGATTTGCGGGAGAAGAAGAGTTGTGAGAAGTGTGTCCTCCATAAAAAAGGAGGGCATCACCGCTGGATCTTCATGGTGGTGACCAACTGTTGAACCGACCAAGACTGTTGTGCTGTTATTTAGTTGCTTTTTTGAACCGAAAAAACAGTCAGATGCCTGCTTGAAGAGATTTTTTTCTCCGCCAAAAGTGTTGACGTTGGTTGTATTATTCCAGTTCCCCGTTCGAGGGATGTCCGAGAGGGGATCGTTGAGATCATGCGGCGGACCTGTCACCCTGGTAATTTTTCCTGCACGAAGTGAAAAATCGTGGAAAACAGTATTCATGCTCATCGTAACTGGCCAGTCTCTCCCATAGAATGTAACGTCCTGTTTGAATGGTAGCAGGTACAGGCAGACGAGGCACACCAAAGATGCGATGTAACGTGAGCCAGGAAAGTTGCCCGACGCGTACTACAGTAGCTTTGAAAGCAACAAGGAAAAAAATTTCGTGCTGCAATGAGCGTTGTGCGCACGTGCGAACGCGGGTTTCCACCTCCCGACGTACTGTAAGCTCCACGCTGCCAATCTGGGAGAGAATGGATAGTCCAGCACCCCAATCCACGTGTGGACACGGGAGGTGCACGTGCACAATAAACGATGAGTGGGTCGCTGTACTGTATCCTGAAACCCTACGTGTGTGGTCGTTTCGCTCATCAAGGAATGGCGCTGAGATTTGTTGCATGTCAGCGGGGACGGACATCGTCACAACCACATGGGAACTTGTAGATGGCCTGTACAGCGGAGCATATTTCCATGGTTTTAGCCCACAGCTGCAATTACGGCCGTCGGTGTAAGCGCCAACTACGGCTCCTCTCACCGCCGGTGCACACTACTGTACAGCAGTAGTAGCACAATACTGTAAGTCAAAGCACAACCGCAAACAACGATTCAACGATCAATCTGTTTCAGATCGAATCGGAACTTCTCCGGGTTCTCCAGTACCCAGAACCCATGCACAGACGCGAGGTTTCGCCGCGTTGCCTGCAGAGAGAGAGAGAGGCGGACGTGTTGCACATTGCTGAGTATGTCGTGGATCAGGGCAAGTTCGGTCACGCTGATGCTGGTGGGTTCGCTGGCAGGTGGGGCAACATATGAGGGCGCCTTCGTTTCGGTGCGAGGTTCTGGGGGCCTTCGGCGATGTCGATCAGGTACATGCATCACCAACGATGCTTGGGGTGGGTTCAGGGGCAGCGAGAAGACTGTTGCTGCTAGAAGGCTTGGCCCCACGCTTGTCGCGGTAGCAATCCCCGTGATTGCGCCAAATGTTGCTTTGTTGCTCAGACTCTTGCTTGGGTTGACCTTGGCTATTTGCGCGCGCCAACACGAGAACACATGTTGCCAACTCTTTTACATACCACCGTCGCCGCAGAAGGAACGGCACAGGGGCAGGAAGCTGCGCTTCAGCACACAGATACTCTGGCATCACTGTAGACCCGATGAGGAGAGTTTGATCTCACTTTTTGGGCATGATGAGTGCGCGGTTTGCTGCACTGAACGACCGTTGCTGCAGCACAGGTGCAGTTCCGTGTGCCGTGTGCAAGGTTTGAGAGTTGGCAACATGCAAACTTGATGTTGCAGTCTAACGGCCGTGGACGCAGCTGTGACCAATCGACAACAAGATATAACACTGCCGGCCCGCGCCGGTGTGGGACTGTCGACAGACTTCCAAACGCTAGAAACTAGGCTGTTGATCTGGTTTCCGATGTGTATGTTGGTGTGTTTTCGCCTTTTCTAGCTCGAGCGTACACCGTCCGACGCCCTCGAAGCCCTTCCAGCGATCCCAGCACTTTGAAACAATACACAGGTAGCAGATAACCTGGGCACTGGAGTCCAGGCTGAGCAGAGGATGCAGCCTTTTTTTATCATATCCACGTAGCAATCCATGATAAGCTTCAATCGTTCGAATGGCCACACAAAGCGCTCCTCTCACCTGCTGTGGACCCACCGCCAGAAATAAACAGCAGCCAGTCAGCCTTCGCCTCGCCACACACAGAGAGCTCGCGCGAAAGTCACGCACAACAACCGCACAGCCACACATAACATCGCTTCCACGAAAATATCACGCACGTTTTCCCCTTGTGTTTTGGTCCGCCTCCCTTCAAACCCCACTGACATCCCCATACAAGCACTGCTCTCTCCATAAGGGCGTGCAGAGGGGGGTGCTTCTCCGGAGCAGCGTCAACCACGTCGGCCTCTGATCGATTCAAGAGACTTCCACCTGAGCGGGGCAAGAAATACCAAACGTAAGCATTCCTACTGTATTCCACAGGCGTCCTGACAAACGTGCTTGGTGTGTCTGCCCTCGGGAAGCAGAGATAAGAGGGGCGCGGGCGCTGGCAGCGAAGAAAGGGTTCGGCGGCGTCGAGAAGAAAGCCCCCAAGAAAACGAAGGTTGCCAAGGAGGTGGCGGCGAAGCGGGCTGCAAAAGCAAGCGCGGTCGTTTCGAGTGGTTTCGCTTACACGGGCTCACTTCGGCCAGGAGTTCAGAGCCCACGAAGGACGGTGAGAGAACTGTTGGCCTTTTTATTTCATTTGTCAGTCGGACGGATCCCCTGAAAAAATGGCAGAGTACAGATCTGTTTTTTTTTCTCTTTGGTTGGTTGGGCTATTTGAGAAGAGAACACGTCAGCTGTGTGAGCTGTTGAGCTTGGGGTATGTCGCAACCAGTAGCATGGCAGCAAGCTGTGGGCTAGTCCTGCTTTTGTTTCTCTCGTTCTCTTGTCTTCCATCGCCCCTTTTGATGACCGTGTGCTCTCATGAGCCCACTCCGGAGGGATCCGGAAAGCAAATATTCTCACAAAATGCCCAACCACACCACGCTCATCCACAGCGCCCACAAAGAGCAGCAATGGCCCACTGATGTCAGTTCCTCCTATCCAGGACCACACGTGTCGCGTCTTGAAAACCGGTGCAGCGTATGCATGGAACCAATCAATGTTCGATTATGCTACCGTACCTTATCCACAGGTGCCTCCAGAGATTGGCCACCCGGACTACGCCGAGGACGGCATGCCCAAGGGCGGAAACCCGCCGCCGGCCTGGGTGATCGAGGTCAAGACGGAGGAGGACATAGCCGGGATGAGAGCGGCCGGAAAAGTCGCGAGGTAGGTATGTAGGCAATAGGGCTAGGCTCCAAAATCGCTGCAGCAGCCGAGCAGAGATTTATGACGCACGGTGTGCAGCGAGGAAACACACACGGCGAGGGTGGCGACTTCTGCGCTACAGAACCCCTGCTCAGCAGTGCTAAACACAGACACCTCTGATCTATTGCTCCCTAGAAGAGGGTGCATAAAGTAGCGATGATCGTTGGATTCGGCGTGAAAAATACTCTAGGCATGCACATAACGCTCTCTGTCTTCTTTCTATAACCATCGGTTTGTCATGAAGAACAGGGTCGGGTTATGGACGAACGTTTCACGTTTTTGGACTGGCTGGTAAGGGCGAAAAGCGGCACGTGGGCATTCGACGAGTCTCTCTTTTCGCTTCGCCCTTGACCCTGTCGCGTGTGACCGCTCTCTCTCTCTTTCTCTCTCGCTGTTGTTTTCCCCTTTCTTTCTTTGTGTGTGCGTCTCGACTCGGTATCCCTTCGTGTCCGTTTGCAGGGAGGTGTTGGACTTGGCGGGGAAGGCCGTAATGGTGGGGGCCACGACGGACGACGTCGACCGCGCTTGCCACGAGGCCGCGTTGGAAAGAGGAGCGTACCCGTCGCCGCTCAACTATTTCGGGTTTCCAAAGAGGTGCGCTTTTTTGCGTCCCTCTTTCTCCCTCTGTTATCACCATCTGCTTCGGCCGACAGGCAATAAATGTCTGGGTTTACCGTTCCACCAGCTTGGTGGCATGAAAGTCAAAGACACCATGTCCTAAGGGAACCGAGACAGCGTACACATGTCTGGTTGATTTTCGGCAATGGTGCCACTCCCGTCTATCCCCTAACCCCCGGGTTACTGCTGCGCTGCTGGATGGCCTCTCGCAGCTGTTGCACGAGCATCAATGAGATAGTCTGCCACGGCATCCCGGACAGCACCGTGCTGGAGGACGGCATGATCGTGAACGTGGACGTGACGGTGTTCTACAAGGGATACCACGGGGATTGCTCGGAGATGTTCTTGGTCGGGGAGGTGGACCAGGCAGGCAAGGACCTGGTTAAGGTGGGTGTTTTGCGGGATGCACGCGTGGAACCTGTCACATTTGGCTGGTACTTTTATTGGCGGTTGGCCGAGAAAATCGTGCTCCGCCTACAAGCAGTATCGTCACGTGGAGTCGGTGCGATAAGTAGTTAGAACACATGAACCACAACGACAACAATAATAGGTATGGTACGGCGGCGACAACAAGAGCAACGGCAATAATACGCGCTTGGTTACCAGTGTTTGACTTACTCATGTTGCCGGTGTATCGTAGCGTTGTTTACCCCGATTTCTGCTTCCTTGGACTTTGTCCCTCTCTCCTTTCCCTATGATTCCCGTGCGTGAGAGAGTAGAACACCCACTGCACGTTCCGTCGCGAATCTCTCAGGGAATACATGCCGGCGAAGTCGTCTAACTTTCGTAGCACTCGCTCTGTCGGTATCCTGGCTTCTCCTCCCCCCCCCCCCCTCTCACTCTCTTTCTCGCGTGTGTTGATTGCCATGTGGTTACGCCAGCCATCCAAACAAGATCCGCTCACGTCGTCACTCACAACCGCTCTCCCCAGCTTTGTGTTTCAAGGTGGCATGCGGCGAAAGTCGAAGTTGTAAGGTTTTCGGCTAGTATTTTTGTACAGAAATTGCTAATCAACCCAAATACATTTCCCTGGTCGGTCTCCCCCCGCGGCCTGAATGACAGGCCACGTACGACATATTCAACGCGGCCATGGCGTACTGCAAGCCCGGGCGACCGTACTCTGGTATCGGCGGGGTGATCCAGGAGATGGTCGACGAGAGAGGCTTCAGCACCATCTCCAACTTCTGTGAGAACATGTACACCACAAGGGCTTGCTTCTTGAGTTTCCGTTGCCGCAGTACCACTCTTTTTTTTGTGTGAACGACATTAATGGTGCCCGCATCGAGGCTTGATATATTTTTCACAAGTTCATGGCCGACGTCGCAGTGTCTCCCCTTTTTATCGTTTAAACGCGAATAATAGGACACGCTTCGAGGCTTGTTCAAAAATCGCAAGGTCGCCGCTTTTGGCCTGGCACCGCGTCCTCTTTTTGGAAAAATGGCAGTCAACTCATTGGTGGAAATGAGTTGTTTCTTACCGAAGGCTTTTCTTCAAAATTTCTATGGCCAAATGTGTCAGCTGATGCACGTGCGGCACAGCCTTGATCGGAATGTTTGAGGCTTGACTTGAGGTTATTGAACGAAAAGGCTTACACCGCAACGTCCACCTTCATGTATGTTGGTTGACGTTCATGGCGACCGGTGGCTGGAGATATTTGCCTTTTTTCATGCTGATCCGCATGGTTTCCGTCTCTCTTGTATGTGTGTGTGTGTGTGTGTGCTTTCCGGGCAGGCGGACACGGTATCGGGAAAACGTTTCATGCCAACCCGTACGTGTTGCACCACAAGAACGACGTGAACAACGGCATCATGGCGGTCGGGCACACCTTCACAATAGAGCCGTTGATATGCGAGGGGACTGGTGAGACTGCCCGTTTGTATAGTTTGGCACTACACGGCATCGACGCAACCATGGCTTGATTCGGAAGCAGCACCTATTTCCGGCACAGAGCTTCGTCTCTGCAGTCAACGGTCGACTCCTTGTATTCCTATTTTATGAAATAGTTGTTGTTGTGTTTAGTACCCTTTTGCTGGTTGGTGGTGCTCTTGTTGCTTGTGGGTCCATTCCTCCCTCTGTCCCAAGCTCTACCTCAGCCCTTGGCCTGATGTTTTTCGCGTTTGACGCCCTCTAGAACCAGCAGCTTGCCGGTCCCTAGGCTTCTACCCCCTTGCACTTGTTTTCTAATAGTCTTGGTACGCAGCTCACACGGGTTTTCTTGGAACCGATGCCGCGTTATGGCGTTTGACACATCGACCCCGAAATGCAACGAGGCAGATTTGAGCACTGCCTGCGGGTCGTCGGTGCTTGGGTACACATGAGCTTGTACCCCCCGCCGCTGCAACGGAACCTCACGCCTTTTGATACAATCGGGATCGTACGGCCGTACCGTACCTTCCGTACCGTACCGTACCGGTTCGTGTAGTGACACGATGCTCGACGGGGAATATTCTCCCGCGTTTCTGGCGAACCTTGTGCTCTCTCTCCCGCACATTCTGTTTCTCTTCTCAGGCCAAAACTTGATGTGGCCGGACAAGTGGACCGCGGCGACAGCCGACGGCAAGCGAACGGCGCAGTTTGAGCACACGCTCCTACTGACGGAAGAAGGGGCAGTGCCTTTGACGGCCAAACTCGACTCGTCGCCGAGACAGTTCTGGGAAAAATGAGTCATCCCCCGCACTATCTTGGTAGAAGTATTTTGTAGACCGTCCTTCAAAATGCAAAGTGCACCATGACGATAGGACGCCCTTGCTCCATGGCGCGATCACAGGGTATGAATGCGAACCTCTGAAAAGATGTTGTTCGAAGAACGATAGAGTAGAAAAGTGGATTGCGCATCTCAAGTTTAGTGGTCCTTAGCCTAGTACTTCTATTGAAGAGTTATATATCTCCACAACAATTGCTTTCATGTCTGTGGCGACTGTCTGCTTTTTATTGCAGAGTGCATACGCCGCTGGTTGGCGGCTTTCACGAAAGCAGCACTAACACACGGGATATTTAATATTTAGAAAGTTGCTCTTTTTTGTCCCCAAGGCCGGGACCATGATGTATTAAGCCAAACTGGAAGAAGTTTCGTCTATATTTAGGATCGACATTTTCGAGTGGAACATGTTATGTACGTATTGAACAGCGAGCGTTCTAGATTTGCTCTGTAGAGCAGGCAGAGAGTGCCCGGGCAGTTTTTGTGGCCGGTTACGACATCCATGGTATCTCGCTACGTTTGAACAAGGTTCGGTTTCATATCTGCCACCTTGTCACCGTTCATTCAATGAGTGGTCGTTTTTCACTTTCACAGCAGTGTGTAAGGTGTATATTTGGGTGTGCTGGTGTAGTGTTTTTGCTGTCATTGTTGTAGTGGCTGTGGCCTTCCCATTATGAAGAATTATGGTCTCTGCACAGCACCTTCCATCTTCCGAAAATGTCCGAAAATGATGCGGACGTCTTGGTGCTCACAGGACTTACTAACGTAGAGCACACCATCAAAGGCGTGATGGCACATATCACGAAAATCAGTAGGCAACGCAAGACAACACAATGAACGCACCTTTCCGATGCATCTATGTAGCAGGAATCGATATATACCCTGACACCCGGTGCAGTGGAACCATGCGAGCACATGGGATTCACGTGTGGATTCCGTGTTGTTCCTGTCACTCACAGTGCTCCGTATGTTTTGTCCCCACATAGCATATATTTACATACCGGGTAGTCTACATCTCGAAGTGTGTTGCGCCGCGTTTTTCTCTTCTCTGAGAGAAAACAGCAAACTGCTGTAGTACCTTCTCCGCGTCTTTTCACGACACAAGGGTCGACATAATTCAGTGCTCTGAACTCCAAACCTATCTAACCCGAACGTGGGTTTGCGTCAACAACATAAAGAGATGAAGAGACAACCGGTTCAGAGGTTCGGTTGCGAGGCACGATCACAGCCTCGGCATCCCTCCCCCCCCCCAGTAGAAATGGATTTTTCAAAACACGCAGGAGGGTCTCGCTCTAGGCTCGTGCATGCACGGACCCCCTCCTGCTGTGTCTTGTGTGTCTGTGCGTCTGGTCTGTGCAGACAGCAGCCTGCTGCTGCTGCTCTACTGTTCCCGCGTTGCGCGCCCCTTCTGCGAGTCTACCCGGAGTCGGTATTTCCCGAGAGCTTTGCTCGAGTTCGGTGTTCGCCACGCACAGGATTGCTACCGAGGAGGAAAAGCGCCGGCTGCAAGCTTGGTCCAATCGTCGAGTTTTTTTGAATTTCAGCTGCTGCTGTGAGCGGTGAGTGCCCAAGGATACCTGTCTGGGGAAGGCACAGCAGCGAGACTGAGGCAAAGAAGGTTGTGCATACAGAGGGGGCTGCATCTCACGTGTGTCAGGCAGGATGATATTGTGAAGGGGTGCTACTTTGTGTGTCACCCGGAGATTGGCTGCGAATTTGTATCCATGCAACAGCAGTAACGGTTTTCTTACCCAACATGTTCTTACAGCAGGCACGGGGCAATGGTGGGCCGGCGGACTCACTTGTCATGCCTTCACCCAGCAGAGCCTGCAACATTTCCATTACTATACCTGCTGCTGTTCGGTCTATTTGCCGGCCTGGATGCTGACCCCTCTCTCCCATATCGTTGTTTTCCGGAGCAGCGTTACCACACCGTGCTCTGGCGCTACTGCTATAGGAACCGGGTGGTCTGCGGGAACAAATCACCCTGCGGCGACGGCAAGTCTTTTGTCGTCTGGTCCTATTTAGAAACAGCTTACGCCTCAGGGGACGGCGGAGAGTCTATCACAAGCTACTGCTGCTGCTGCTGTTGCTGCAGGGGGGGGGAGCGCGATGCAGTCCCTCGTGCTCGTGGACGACTACAGCAGACCAGCGGCGGCAACAGCCGGCCCGGCGAAAGGCGACCGTAGCCTTCTCCCGCTGGGATTGATAAGCAAACCGCCCGCCGCCGAGCACGGTACCGGCGGCAACAACAACAGCAACAACAACGCCGCCGGCCGCCCACAACGACCAACCGGCGAACCGCTATCGGATCCCCTCTACGTGAGGGCAGAGGGCTGCCCGTCGACGCTGCCGCCCCCACCCGCGGGGCCCCCGGTCATGGTCCTCTTTCCGGCAACTCTCCCCCTATCGATATTCCTGGCCCCGCCGCCGCCAGCAACGCTCGCCTCAGGCGTGCTCACCCTGCTGGCCATCCTGGGGTCGTGGGGATGGGGGTGGGGGTTGGTGTCCGCGGCGGGGGTCGGGTCGGGATTGGCGGCCGGGCTGACGGCGGGGCTCGGCGTAAGGTCAAGGCCCGTGGGAGGCTGGGGCTTCACCGGTCTGGTGGGTGCGGATCGTGGATTGTCTCACACCTCTGATGTTGCATGCATACATATTTCGCAAGATTATCGGAAGGGGAGTAGTAGACGTAGCGCCGAGTGGCTTGTATGCGTTACTATGTTTCTCCTTCGTGCCAGCTGGAAAACCTTTCGGGGGGGGCAGGTATATGCGGTTCGCATCGTAGTTCTAGTTTTCGTTTCCACCCGAACAGCCAATCTTGATCACTGCGTATGGCCGATGTTCCGCGCCCACTACATTATCCAGTTCTTCGCAGAGTATAACGGTTTTCATGTGGTGGCGTGTGGCTGGCCCTCGTGAGGGCAGCAGGGGGGAGTGGGGGCCGGCAGTGCCAGGACCCACGTGGAGGGAGCTCTTCCGTTGCATGTGCAGAATGACTGTGCCAAGCACCCTGTGTTCCTTGTGTGGCGACATACAAAAAAAAATCGTAGATGTTGCCGGTACTGCCGTGTCACGGACCAGTGTTCCCAATTTCTTTGGAAGAACAGAGTTTGCCGCGAAAGAGGGTCCGATATACCCCGCTGAGGCTTACGCCAGCTTGGAACGATCGTGTTGCTATGCAGTCGCCCACCTTGTCAGCGCCGGGAAAAACTGTGCCGACCAGCGTTTTTCAACTGTACCACATACCGGTCGCCCCGGTGGTCTAGTGGTATCCTCAAACCGCTAGTCGCAAAGCCAGGTCGTGAGTTCAAATCCCCATGGGGCAGAAAAAATACTTTCCAAAATTTGCGGGTGACTACGAAATATTGCTGAAAAAGCTCTCTCTCTCTCGTGAGTACCAAACTTCGACGTTAGCACCGTTGACGAGGGAAAGGGACGGCTGGACCCTTCTCGCGATAAATATAAAATTCAGCACGCACCGCAGGAGGAAGGTGGGGCACGAAAGTTAATGAAAGAAGAAAAAAACCCTGGTGTTTACCCCCTCCTGTGTGACCCTGGACGGTTGTAGTTGTATGGAAAAAATACGCTGAAGTGTAGAACACGTCTCACCACGAAAAATGGGGGAATGTCGCCATAATAAAATAGAAGAAGGACGAAAACTAACACACACACACCACAGTAGGAGTGAGTTCTCCCATAGGATATGGGGGATGATTGACTTCTTTGGCACCCGTTTCGCCCTCTTCGTCCAAAGAACAGGACGAGGACATTGATCGCCCACTTCCCAGTTCGTTCTTTTTTTACAGCATCGCCGTTTTTCTTTCTGGCAGGGGGTTACTTAACAAAGACGACCGCGCGGTCGGGCTTCCTTCTTGAACGCCATCTTATGTTGCCCGTGCCTTCTTGGCACGTTACATCTTACCCTGCCACAACCGCCTTCTCACTCACGCCCCCCCGCCCCCCCCCTCCCTGTTCTCCCGCGTATGCATACGAAAACCCTTGCTTAAAACCAAACCCAAACAGTCGGTGCTCGGGATCGCGCTCCTCGGGGGCGGGAAGGCGAGCCTCACATTCGGGATGTCGCTGGGGCTGTCTACGCTGTGGAGGCACGGGTGGTGGTTGTACGTTCAGCCGGAGTGCGCCCCGGTTTTGTTCCTGCTGTCGGGAACGACGGCTGATGTCGCCCTGGGGTTCCTGCTGACTTCGCTGCTCCAGGTGAGGGCTAAGAACGCCGGTTCGCGCGGAAACGTTAAGGCTGCTATTCGCAATCCCAACCACGCCATCTGTTGTCGGTGCTGTGGGAACGATGCCCTGTCCTCTCGAGAACGCATGGTCTACCCGTTAAGACATGCGAAACATGGGTTCCCACCACCCACCCCTTCTGTCGCAAACCCCCGATGAGGCCATCGGTGATCGATCCTGTGGGAACAATTCTGTCCTCTCAAGGACTCGTGGTTAAAGGTCTAACAGCTAAGGCATGCGAAACACGAGAACGCCCCCCCCCTCCCTCCCCCCCCCCCCGGTGTTTGCCATCGGGGTTGGGTTTTCGTCGCTTGGCAACGACGTTGTAA